CATCCTTTCTGTCCTTCCTTGCTGCAGCCCTAATGGCAGACCTGTCATTGAAAGCCAGATATCTTCCTGATGCTAGCAGGCATCTAGTTCTGAGGATGCCATCCTGGGGCTTTCTCTTCTTCCTTGTGGACACCCCTGGCTTTTCTTTATATCTCCTGCACTTAGCATACAGGGACACTTTTGCTAAATACACCAGGGAGGGTTGTCCAGCACCGCCTACGAGCTGAAGCTGTCACTGCACTCTGGGTTGATCTGCCTGAGTGGAAAGTGCTTCAAAACTAAAACTCAGGAGAAACATGTATGTAATAATCTGCATCAAAAACAAAACATAGGACCCAGGTGTTAAAAGTTAATTTGTTGCTGGTGTTCAGTCATTTCTGATTCTTTGTCACCCCATTTGAGGTTTTCTTGGCAAGATCCTAGAGTGGTTTGCCATTTTCTTCTATAACTCATTTTACAGATGAGGAAACTGAAGCAAACAAGGTTAAGTGACTTGCCCAGGGTCACATGTCTAGTAAGTGTCTGAGGTTGGATTTGAACTCAGGTCTTCTTGACTCCAGGCCTGCACTTCCTGACTCCATGGCACTAATGTTGGACACTAGTGAGCTTGGAATGTTGGACAGGAGCTTTGAATTTTGGATCCAAAACACCTTATTTCAAGTATTGCTTCTCACATAAACCTCTATATTATCCTTGGTAAGTCATTTAGTGTCTCAGTGACCCAGGCAAATCTCTAGGCTCTGACTTACTACAAGTTGCTTATCTGTTTCAGTAGAGGGAATTTTTGCCCTAGGGGGATCCTAATACTGATAAAAACACAGGACTAGAGTCCACCCCCTTAAAAACATCTGAGCCTAACAGGTCTTTGATATGTGTAATGAAATAGGCTAAAACATGAGCATATAATTACAACATAAAAACAAGGATTTTGGTTTCCTAAGTCTAAATCTCTGTGCCTACAGAAGAAAGAGGTATAATATATTGTTTGGTTATAGCAACTAAATGAATGACAGTTTTCTAGAGGAACAGCAAGGAAAGAAGCACCAGTATTTACAGAACACTGGGCTAGGTCCTAAGGGAGATATAAAGATCAATATTACAAGGTCCTTTCTCTTATAAAGCCTACAAGCTGATGGGACAGATGACATATACAAAAATAACTGTAACATAGCATGTACCAAGTACATAGGAAGTATAAAGGAAGTATTTCCTCAGATCTGGGGAGGCAGAAGCTAGTTTCTCACTAGTGGAATGAGAGAAGGCTTCTTAGAAGAGATGACATTTGATCTCAGTGTTGAAGGATGCTGCAGCAGTCTGGTTAGACTGAGACACATTTCCCACCTCCCAATATACAAACATACAAGAGGGGAGTATTTTCCATAGATAGCTAGATGAACCAGTGGGTCTATTAAACAGAGCCTTGAACACAAAAGTGATTGGGCAAAATAAACCAGTGTTCATTTTTACCTAGCCTGCTCATGGTTGGTGTGATCAAAAGAAACTCGGGTCTACTTACCCTACACTAGTGCAGCTTTAGAGATTCCATTTGTTTACCTCAAAATAAAACTCCATAGACCTGAATCACCATAGGCCTTGAAGAGCCAGTCTGTATAATTTCTGGTCAGGGCTGGTTGCCTAGCATTGCTGAATGCATTGCTTAATTTATTCGAACCAGAGTCACTACTGAAATTCTGTAGGCTTTAAGGTGGTTGGGCACAAGCATCCTTGAGAAACCTTGTCTGTTAATTTTGTTTATATGTCATCAAATAAATTCTATGTTTCAGTTAACTGAGTATGAGGCTCTATCTCCTCCCTTGAAATTAAGTACTAGACTGATATAGATAGCTAGATTTCAAAAGAGGTACAAGGACATTCCAGGTATAGTATGACAAATGCATAGTAGTGGGGAAGTGAAGAGTGTATAGTGAGTACAGCAAATATTAAGGTTTAGCTCAAGAATACAGTACAGAGAGGTGAGGAATATGAGATAAATCTGGAAAGTTAAGGGTTTTTTAAATACCTTGTACTCTTGAACTAAGGAGGTTGGGGTTTATTTGATAGACAGCAAAGAGCCATTAGAGGGGGTCTAAGCAGAAAAATAACATTGAAAGATCATTCCTCATTTAAATGTACTATTTCAGCTAATATCGTAGTCAAGAAAACCAGCAACATAACCTCACTTGAGATAGGTCTGTGTGAAATCAAGGCTCCTGATCCCAATTTTTCCATTTTTTCTTTTTTTAAATTATTTTAAAACCGAGTCCACCATCTCATCAAGCCTAGAAGTGCAGTGGCTATTCACAACCCAACTCCACTGTGTTAAAGAGCACAGAAGCTTTTTTCTGTTCCATTTCTGAACTGCGATGGACAGCTCCTTAGGTAGCCTGGTGGCTGCCAGCTCCTAGGGGCTGACCATACTGGTGTTGGACTTAGTATGGACACCCAATTGGGTTTAAGCCGTATAGCATCTCAGAAATCCTGAACTCAAGTGATCACCAGCTCCATCATCCGTGATAGCAGGCACTACAGGAATGTGCCATCATATTCAGTGATCCATTTTTCTAAAAGTCTTCTATAGGACTACTGTATATTACAAAACCAAGTCATGATATTCTGTACTACAATTTGCCTTTATTCATTTTTATTTCAAATTTGGTAATAATTAGAGTGGAATAGCATATTCAGTTCTATACTTTAAGAAGACTAATATGGGAATATGAAATATGGGAGTTTTTTGAGGGAAGGGAAGAACAAAGGTAGAAAAATCAGTTAAGAGGCATTGAAATATTCTCAGCAAATAGTAATGACAGCCTGTACTAGGGTGGTGACATTGGGAAGAGAAATAAAGGACTGAATGAGTAAGTTATTTTGGAGAGATTGGCATTTGATTATGTGTTGGGGAAGAAGGAAAGGGAGTAATGAAAGATAATATCAAGGTTTCAAATTTATATGTTTGGGTGAAAGGAGGAAATAAATAACTCCTTTATTTATGTTGGAAAGAGTGTCACTTTGTAGTTACAAGATGTTATTGAAACCAGATAAAAGAATACTCTGGGTTTGTGGTTTCTTTGGTTGAGGCCTAAGTCCCATAGGGAAACTCCATCTACCAATGGAGATTGTAATTGTTCTTCAATTTATACACTTAATTATGCAGATCACGAAATGGTAAAGTGACTAGCTCATAGCCACAGAGTATAAATTAGATGTGATACTTAAACCCAGATGACCCTAAGGACAGCTCTAGCCAATACACTTCACTACCTCTCATTGACATTATTGACTTTATCATCTTCATCACCATCACCACTGACATCAATAGTTTATGGGAGGGAAAGAGGCAGGACAATGATCAGTCTTTATTGGAGTAAAGAAAAAAAGAGATGAGAAGAAAGAGAGGGAAAGAGATAAGTTTTCTACTTTTTGCTTTTTTTTAAATCAAATCCATGATGTCATGAGTATAGCGATCTCTCAGTGAAGAACTTCTAATTCAGTTCAGCAAATTCTCTGAATCTTACAGCCTTAGAGGGTATTCTGGGGAAACTGAGAGGTTATTTGCCTAAAATGACACAGCCATCGTGTGTCAGAGGCATGCCTTGAAACCAAGTAATCCCAGCTAAAACCACAGTAGGAAAATTAGCTTTGCCTATTCCAGAAACTCACCTATAGTCTGTAGATTAGTACTTAAATGCTGCATAGCTGTATTAGGTGACTTCAAGAGGAGAAAGGCATATTCACATAGCTTAAGAAAGACTCATTTTAAATGCATGCCATTTTTTTTACAATGTTTTATTTTTATTATGTATTTCAATGGATTTTTGAAAAGCAAAACTATTAAAGAAAAGCCTTTTTTTTCCTTACCACTTTATTTTAAATATATCAACCTTTCCCAGAAATGCCTCACACATTCTACATGTGTGAGGTCTTTCTCTGTGGCACAAAGGTCTTTATAAAATATCAAGACAGCCAGTATATTTTGATGTTCATTAACAGATAATCCTGACTTCCAACTCCTCTGTAGCTTAAGCACAATTCTTTAAGGCAAGGTTGCTGTCCAATGCACTAAATTGCTAACATGTTAAGGTAAGATCCCTGTCTTCTCTAGATAGCCCATTCAAATTCTTGTCTAGTTTCACTTGTGACACCTTTGTGCTATTTAAATACCAGACGACAGCATAATCAATTCACTACCATAGCAGACAAGCTCATCACAATTTACTCGATTGACTATGTGAAAGGAATAGATGACAGCTATTGTATGGTGAACATAACAAGTGAACTATATGCAAGAGAGTAAGAGAAGCACACCTTGAATGAAAAAATAGTGTTAGCTGATGTGCTATAGGCTTATGAAACACTTTGCTTGTGTTCTTTTATTTGATCTTAATAAAAACCTGAGAGGTAGATGCTACAGTATTATTACCTCCATTTTATAAATGAGGAAGTTAAATAGCTCCAAGGTTAAGTGACTTGCCGTGATTAGGAAGCTAGAGGTAGAATACATTCCTATGTCTGCTAACAGAATGCAGATGCTGACAGGGCCTGTGAAGCTAGAAAAGCTTTAAGTATGACTCTGGCAATAAACTATGGGTCTTATGTCCAAGAACCATCCCAGCTAAGTTTAAGAGATCTCATCACCAGAAAGTTGACCGCTATGTGATTTTCTTTAAATGGCTATAGGATCTCATGAAGACCATGTATTAAAGTGATGAGAGATTACAATCTATGTAAGTAGAGACAATTGCCATACTGTTGAAATAACAGAGCTTTTAAAATTTTACAGCAGGACAACAATGACAGAATGATAGGAACTGGTCTTAAAATTTAGGAAGATATACTAAAGAATTTCCTGAGAGTAGGGGCAGTTAGAAAGTATAGTATTTTACTCAGCAGTGAGGAATTGTACCTTTTTTTAGGTTCATGGAATCATAGAATTTTGATACTTGAAATACTTATGGATCATATATACCAACTTCATTTTACAGACTCCTCATTTTTTCTAGATGAAGAAACAAGCAACTAAGAAGTTGAATTTCCTTCAAAATCAGTCTTTCAGCAGGTATAACGATAAGCCCACTTCTCTTTCTCTTTAGTCTACAAAGTTTGCATCTGTCCCTTCTAACCTTCATTATTTTACCTTTAGTTTTCCTTCTCACCTTCTACACCTCCCCATATTAAAACCCAAGAGATTGCATATAGAAACTACATTGAGTTCTTTTATAGAGATTTTCAGGAAACACCAAACAAATGGAAAATAGGAAGGAGAGGTACAGTATATTAAATTTCTTTTAAACTCTGAAAATAGGAATGCACACATACCAAGATTGGGACAGGTAATTAGCCCATGCCTCTGCTTCCAGGCAGAGCTGTACCTAAACAACTCCAGCAAGAAAGTTATCTGTCATTTTCTATGGTGGCAGAGGAATGTAGAAATTTGAATCAAGTATGTATATTCAATAAAAATCTCTGTTTTTGAAGACAGTTTGTATGCATGCATACATGCATGCATTAATAGGAATATTTGAAATAGTAGAGACAATGAATTTATTTTCTAGTTTAACTCACATTGTAGATGTTTGGACAATAATAGTGAGGGTAGGAATGTTTTCTCCCTTCATTTGTAAAAGGGAAACCTAATCAAGTTTGGTGGCATTGCCCATAAAATATATATCAATAATGATTTTTGCTCTGGTTCATCTTTGTTTCCTATAGCATTAGAGAAGAGTCCTGCTTCCTTCTTTAGCTCTTAAAATATAATATCCATATAATCATAATATGACTTGAATTAGACACAAACTTTTGTTTGTACATTATCTTATACATATTGACAAATATGATACTGGGAAATTTGTCAAGGGTCACACAAAAATTAATATATTATGTGTTTTTATTCTGAAGCTAAAACTAAATTAAGAGGAATGTCTATTTCAATAATATGAGACACACATTTCTTTCCCTTGACCATGCTGAAAAATATATTTTATTTGTCCTCCTCTATCACACTGATTTCTTTCAGCAATTGCCAGAAACAAATCCAGATTATGAGTCGTAGTCATGAGATTTAGTTCCAGGGTGAGTCTACCTTTTACCTAGTGTTGCACTCTTTGCTTTTTAGAAAGTCGCATCTGTAATCTCTGAGATATAGGGAACACTTAGTGAGGAATTTTCCTCTATTCATGAAGATTGGTAACAACCCCCAGATTGTTTTAACCCCATTAAGGCAACCAGATGGTAATGATCCCCTACCCTGAAGATATCTGTGCTTTTCAGAACCCCCATGGAGCTGCTTGAGGGAAGAATCACATGAAGACATCACTTACATGAGCTGAGAGTCACCAATCACAAGCTTTCTGGTGATATAGAAGCCCATCAGTTCTTACCCTCTGTTTTGACACTACATTCTGAAGTTCTCCATGTCTTACCATCAACTTTATCATTATGTCCTCTTGACTCCTGGATGCTGTCATTTGACCTGCTGGTATACCTTAAGGACCCCTGGAGTTTGGCATCTGCTTGCATCTTATTTTTTAAATTTTCATCTACTGCACTTAGTACACAATACTGAATAAATGCTTTTTCATCCATCCATACATCCATTTATTCAATTATTCATTCATTACACTCTTGGAGAATTGCTTAGGGCATTGAGAGCTAAAGGGACTCACCTAAGGTCTTGGAACCTGACATGAATTCAAGTCTTCTTGATTCTGAGATCAACTATGTAGCCATACTGTCAAGCTTATATAATTTGACCATTATAAAATTAAAAAAAACACATTTTACCCTCCTTATTTCACTAAAACTGCCTGTTGCTCCCCCTCTCATGTTTTTTTTTCTTCCTTTTCACATAAGTAAGAACAAACATAGTGATGGGGATTGAGGGATGGGAGGAAATACAGAGATAATGTTTAGTGGCAGATACTCTGTTACATGTTGAGCTACTGCTACAGAGATTTATAGTATTTCTATAACCTTTGGAATTTATTCTGATGTATATGATTCTCTGACTTCTTATGAAGGACATGACTATATTAAAGAGTTCCCTGGGGAATTTCCTTCATTTTGGCAAATCAATGTTTTCCCTAGTATACTAAGATAAAGAGTACCAAAGGGGTGTGTGTGTGTGTGTGTGTGTGTGTGTGTGTGTATGCATGTATGTGAGAGGGAGAGAAAGAGAGACAGAGCAGGGAGAAAGGGGAGAGAGAAAGAGAGAGAGAGAGAGAGAGAGAGAGAGAGAGAGAGAGAGAGAGAGAGAGAGAGAGAGAGAGACAGAGAGCGAGCGCTTTTATTTCTTCTTCCCCTTGGAAAGGTACAGCTTTACTTATTTACTTATACTTAATACTTCCATATTGACCAGAGTCCAGTCTGTGGTAGGGCTTTCTGGAGATAGTATAATGGCTATATATTGAATATGGTTCCTGTCTGAGAAATATCTGTCTGTGAGTCTAGGTGTATTACATGTTTTGCTGGTGTTTCTTTTGTGTCAGACCTGAAAAGGTAAGAACAGGGCTATGGTCTGGTAGCTAGAGAGTCATTGGGACTTCAGAGCATGCCTATATTTTGCACTTAGGTGGTATTTAACTAGGGATCCATTGAACACCAAGGAAATCTGAGTAAGATAAATCAGGAGCCAGGTGTCAGGGTGAGGAAAATCCAAGAGGTGTCACCGGTAAAATTACATCTGAGATAGAAGAATCAATAATTTCACATGTGGGCTATCATGTTTGGTTGCTTGAAATTCCAGGCTATGTGACCTGGTTATATGGTCTTACGTATGAGAAGAAATTGTGTATAGTTATTACCACAAAATTTCTGTGTCTGAGTTGTGAGAGTCAAACATCATTATTCCCATTCCTCCATTCTTAGTTTTATCAAATTATTCACTTTTCACTTGACTAAGATTTATCACTCACCACCCACTTTAAACCTTCCTCTTGCATTGACAGAGCCTCCATGGAATGCTGAGAAATCTTACTTTTTTCCATTAGTCAAACAGGCTTAAAGTTTCAATATCTACTTCACAATCAAAGATAATTGATGAGACAATGTTTTATAAAATTCTTAAAGATCCTGTTGAAGAGTAATGAAAAATAGACTCAACCCATTTAAAATGGCAATATCAATGAACAACATAAATACATCCTAGAGGTCAATTTCAAAAGCTAACACACTAATGTTTTGAGTGAAGAAGAAAGAAATATACATTTGTATTTGTAGTTGTAAACAAGAAGGCATGCTGGGCAGGTAGCCTGAAGCCAGCTGAATTAAAAAAATCTTCCTGAGTTTTCTCTTTCCATTATTTATAGACTGGGTAAGATTCATTCTTTGCAAAACAACAGGGCAGCTCCTATTCTCTGTCTGCTGATAGAGGAAAACCTTTCCATAAAAGATTCCTTTGAGGTCCTGTAGTGATTTTTTCCCTTAAGTCTGGACATTTTAAACATATCCTACTGAAAATGATAATGAAGCCCATGCTGACAGGTTTCATAGAGTCATGTTGCCCTGAATTATTTGTGTAGGAGATAAAATGAACAGAAAACCAAAATTAATAACAATGATAATCCAAAAGACTATTAGCAAAAATGTAATATCCTTTGTTATGAATAAAACAAAATTCTTATGAGATGGAGAATGAGATAGTTATCCAGAGATTCACTTGTTTTTTGGCTTAGCAAGCAATCTTTAGGAAAGATGTTCTCTCAATAAGAATTTGTTGAAGAAAGAGTAGAGGGCTCAAACCCAAAGTCAGCACACGCTATATCCCACAGGCACACTTATTGTTATTACCTTCTTGCACATAGGAAGCTCTTAATGAACTTCCAGGGCATGGAGAAATCATTAGGAATGCAAGATCAGGCTCATAATGACTCCCTCAGTAAGACCCGATTTTCATTTGTGGATATGATAACTTTTTCCCTCAGGGAAAGCACCACAGTGCTCTTTGAGGGCATAGTTGAAATTATAAGGTGTAACTATAAATGACTCATACCAGCTTCATAAACCACACACACACACACACACACACACACACACACAGAATTCAATAACTTTAATTTCCAGCCATTTTAATTATAATCTATTTCCCTTCATATTTTATATCTGTCTGAAAAGGGATCATATTGACTTAATACACTGCGGAATAAATATAGCTCCTTGGTCTTATAGCAGCAAATCTTACTGAGCAACAAATGGGAGGGAATGTTTTTCTGTTGTGACTTTGCCTGTTTTTTGTCCCAACATTCCCCAATAATGTGCTATAAGCAGAGTGGTGCTGGTAAATGACTGACTAGCTCTCTAGAAAAAAAAGTGTGTGTGTGTGTGTGTGTGTGTGTGTGTGTGCGCGCATGCGTGCGTGTGTGTGTGTGTGTGCATGTATTGTTGTTGTTGAGTCATTTTTCAATCATGTATGACTCTTTGTGAGGTGTTCTTGGCATTTGGGGTTTTCTTGGCAAAGATAACTGGAATGGTTTGCCATTTCTTTCTCCAGTGTGTCTCCATTTTACATATGAGAAAGTGAGATAAGTAGGGGTTAAGTGACTCCAGGCTCAGCACTCTAGCCACTGTGCCAATGTGCATATACATATGCATATCATACACACACACACACACGCACATATGTATGCATACACACAAGTTACATGTGTGCATATATGCAGATGTATATATGACATTTTAAATTTAATCTTATATATTAATATTTTCTCTATCAATTAGTTAATCAACAAAACATTGCATGCTAATTTGTGTCATTTGCCAATATTTGAGGTGTAAATGATCATAATGAAAATGTAACAATCAGCTCTCACAAGTCAATCTGAGACATGGCAATTGCACACACAGTAGGTAGTAAGCTTCATGAGGGTAGGAACTGTTCTGTTTTGTGTGTGTGTTGTCACTACCTAGCACAATGCCTGGGATATACTAATAGGATTATAAGAGCATGGATTTAGAACCACTAGGGATGTTAGAGTCCACATAGTCACTTTCTCCCCCTACCTCATTTTACATTTGAGATATTGAAATACTGAGACATTAGCTGACTTAAACTGTGGTCACATAGCTAGTGTCATAATTGAGGTTTGAACTCAAGTTTTTCTGAGTTCAAGCGTAGCACTCTATCCATAACATTTTGCTTCACTAGCTGGCAGTTAATGGATAACTTGTTGAGGCGAGCTGAACAATAGCAAAGACAGAATAAATAATACTAAGAGTTTTTTAGAGATGTTTGTCATAGCAAGCTTCTAATAACTTTAAATTATAGTTGTTGAAAAATACTATAAAATCTCTTGTGGGAAATTGGTCTCTAAATAGCAACCTGTTCTCATCTTATCATTGGTGTGCTTTAGGAAAGGAGACCACTTTTACTAGTTGTTACAGTATCTGGCTGTATGCGTAGATTTTACTCCTTTATGCTTTTTATTTGTAAGGGATGAACTTCAGAAGTCTGGATTTGGATCACTGCTTCTCATGCAGAGATGTGAATCCAAAATGTCTACCCCTACTTAGTTCTGAAAAATGGTGCTGAAAGTTACAAGTAAAGAAGCATATAAAATTCTTGGCATTTTTCTCTTTCTTTTCAGACCAGAAGAGCTACTGTATGCTCAGTAGCTAGAATCAATGAAGGGAGAATATGTAGAAACCCCAGTGATTCTGGGGACTGCACAGTTGCTGCCATTAGACCATGGAAGGCATGACAGTGCCCATTCAAGGTACTGCAGTGACTGACAGCAGAGGCAAAGAGGGGTCCCAGGTACATGGTCAGGTGGCACTTGATGAAGAGAGGCTATCTGTGGTACTCATTAAAATGACACACATCTCTCTCTCTCTCATTCTGAATTTGCCAGAATGTTTTTTAAATGAAAATGTTTATCAGAGATATTGCTTGCTCATATTCCTTAAATTTTAAAAACAAAAGCTGTAAAATACTTTTGGAAAATTTACATGACAACCACTTTCGGTGGATCATTTTCTATTGATTGATTTTTAAAAATCAGTCAAGATTTAGGAAGATCTTAGAAACACTGTAAGGAACATGACATCATAACTCTCATCTCTAAAAAAAAAGTATCATGGCATTATTAATTCTCCAAAGCTCTTTTCCTCTACATGATAAATAGCAGCTCTGTGGAGGGTAGATTAGAATAGAGAGAGACTTGAGGCAGGTAGTCCAATTAAAAGCCTATTGAAATAGTCCAAGTGAAAAGTGATGAAGGGCTGAATGAGATGGTAGTCATGTTGACTAAGTAGAAGGTACGATATGTAAGAGAAATTCAAGAGAAAGAAAATTCAAGATGGATTCATGGAGTGAGCAGGAATGAGAAATAAAGAGTGACCTAAATATAGTCAAAATGGGTAACTAGAAGGATAGCAAAACCCTTGAGATTAAAAGAAATTCAAATTGCATTTCAGGGGAAATAAGGAATTCTGTTTTAGAAATGTTGATCTTGAAATGAAAAATGGAATATAGTTTGAAATGTCCAATAAGCCATTGATAACTTAGCACAGGAGCTCAGGAGAGAGACAAAGCCTAGATAAATATATTCTGGAGTCATATACTTAGAGGCCATAGGGAGCTGATTAAGATAATCATGTGAGAAATATTAAAAGACCAAGATGAAAACCTCCAGTTCATTGCTTAGATCTTCTAAGGAGGGTATATGGAAAGC